GCATAACTAAACTTATCTAACATTCATTTAACCAGGATGTTTTGACCCAGGATTGAACCAAGTATAGATCCCATATTATGTAAACCTGTTTTGAGCCAGGTGATATGTATGTCATAGGATCACAGACAGGTCACAGATTTATACACAGACCTCATCTTTTAGTTCAAATCAAATATTGCTTTTTTTGATGATTTAATCACATTCCTAGGAAATGAGTTCCTGTGTCCAAAATTCTGAACTGTCCCTTTAAATCACAATATTCATCTAAAACAATTTAATTAGTCCACTAAGTTCTGTGTTAGAAAATTGTGGTGCCCAGTGGGATCACAACAAAGAGCTGTGTAGCTGTGGGCCCCTCTGATAGACAGCTGCAGATCACAATTGCGAGATTAAAAAAAAAAAAAAGTGTACCAAAATGACTATGTAATGCTACATGCATCACCGATTAAGAAAGAAAAAGCAGAGCGAAGTACAGACCAGTAATCTATATTTCCTAGTATTGGCTCCCATTCTAGGTCTCAGAGTCTGCGGTCAGACCAGGACTGACCCTGGCCTGAACCTGGACTGGGATCAGGTCTGATTACTGCATTGGACACACCTACTGCTCTGGTCATACAGGGACAAGACTAAACTAAAGGGCCCATATTGTTGTTTCCTCATCACAAACAGACCTGTTTTGTTTCATTTACACATCATCAACACACAAACTCTGCATATTTAGCCTGAGTTCTTCTCTCAAACAGAAACGCTCTGTTCCACCTTGTGATCCCATGTGGTAATACATGACCACTATTTTTTTTTAACTCCATAAACTTTCACTAAAATTGGATGATTTCAACCCTGGAAGTGACAATCGCTTCTAAACAACAGGTAAATGGAGCTGTTAACTTCACATCACAAGGTGGAACAGAGCATTTTGAGCTTTGGAGCTGTAGACAGACTAATAATAAAAGATTACTCAAATGTGTGAATGAAACAAAACAACTCCAGGCATGTTTTTGAGGAGGTAACAACATTATAACTTGACTTAAATCTTATAAGAGTCCATTTAGTGCAATATGGGCCCTTTACTTTATCATAGCTTATATTTAATATTATTGTCCAATGTTTTTTCATGTTCCCAGTCATGAATATATTTTGCTGAAGATGCAATCAAACCCCCTCCCCCTCTCAGCCCATATGACTCATGTTTTACCCTATCTCATGTTTAGGCATATTACAGGAACCACCTCCCTGTGGTTTAAACTGTCATATTATCCTCACTTAGTCATGCTGCAGTCCTGAAAACTCATAAATCTTCCCCTGCTACTGGCCTCAAAGCCTTTTTTTTTCCTCTTTTTTTAGTTTTAGGTTTGGTAATGTTCAGCACATGGTCAGCACATGTGAAGGGTCTGACATGCCCTTTGACCCACTAACCCATATGACCACAGAATACGAATATGTCATCAAGCAGGGATTTATATAGAAATCACTGGACCATCGGAATACCTCGGCCCTGGACTTTGTAAGAAGGCAACTCAGTTCACGTGGATCAGAACAGGATCATTTGGCACCGATCGTCCAATAAAATCAAGGCTTCTGATGATAAAATGCTGTTCAAATCCCCCTGCGAATGTCAAAATGTTTACTTTTTCAGTCCTTTTTCCAATAAAAAAACAACATTCTGAGATCCAACAATTACAAAGTTTAGGACAAAGTTTAAGGCTAAATCAGGACTAAACCAGGATTAAAGGGCACATATCTTGCTATTTTTGGCTCTGTGTTATAATGTCCATAAATGTTACATAGTGCATCTTAAAGTTATTAGTGTAGTCTATAAAGCTTTAAACCAAAAACATAGCTTCACTAGAATCATTTGGACGATACTGGAATTGCCAATGTCTACTGAACTAAAAGTAAAACGTAGCTGTTAACCCTCTCCAGGCAGGCGTTGCAGATTTGCAACAGATTAATTCCAATTACCTACTTACTCCACATCCATATTATATGAGCTTTTTTAACTCAGGAGCCTTTTCTCCCATCCATGCTGGTAAACGTGGGCGATGCAGACTGTGCAAGAATGGCTACACGCAAACGGCCTGCCAGAAGTGCAAAATACTTTTTTTGTTTAAAGGATAAAAAAGTCAGAATTGTATATTACCCCAATTGTTACCCCATATTATAATTTTCCCCAAATATCAGATTTTTCCTGATACTAAAAATTAATTTGAGCCTGAGAGGGTTAACTTGAAAACTACCACTTCATGACATCACAAGATGGAAAAGAGCATTTTGAGCATTGGAGATTAAAAAAACCAAAGCGGTGTTATTCAAACAAGTGTGAATGAAACAAAACACAACTGATTATAACATGGCTTAAAGCTCACCAGAGTCAATATTTTTGTAATATCCAAACAAATCCACTTTTTTTACACAGCACATTTTATAAACATGACAGTTTCCAAAGTGCTGCACAGACAAATTAATACAATAAAAGACAGTAAATCGTAACTAAAAGCAATAAATAAAAAGTGTTAAAATGCATAAAGCAAAAATAATTTTAAAAATTAATACAAATAAATAAATAAATACATAAATAAATAAAATGAAATAAAAGACATGGAGGACTACACACCACACAACTCACGTAGTGCTAAAAAACAGATAGTAAAAGTGGGTCTTAAGATGAGGCTGCACTGTGGGGGCTGTTGGGACGTGGGGGGCAGAGTGTTCCTGAGTTTGTAGCCGACCACAGAGAAGAGTCTGTCCCCCTTGGTTTTAAGTTTCATCTTAGGCACCACGAGCTGGAGCTGGCCCTCGGACGTACTGTGGGGCCAGTCCATCTTTAGAAGCAAATAATTAAATCTTAAAATCAATTCATAATCAAGTCAGAAGTCAGTGCAAGGATTGGTGTGATATGGTTCCTGTTAAAAGTGTAAAGTGGGTTGTAGTAGTCCAGACATAATGAAATAAAATTAGCATGAGCTGTTCAAAAAGGTTAAAAGATTAAAAAAAAGAAAAGAAAAAAGTTTGACTTTGAATAAAAGTTGCAATTGATTAAAAACTTGATTCTATGATGCGGCTTATCTGCTTATCAAATTTAAAATATAGGACATTTAAGCTAGGAATAAACTAATAATTTAAAGGTGCACTATGTATCTTTTCTGATGGAGGGGTTGCTACATGTTAGTCACCAGATTATTTCTTGGTGTAAATGTTCCACAGTGTGGTATTAAACTTGTCTATCTCCATGGAGGTGCCACCATTTAAAATATGTTTTTGAGCAATAAAAAAACCTGTATGAATAAATGCAAGATAGATCAGTTTAATGTCGTACTGTGGAACATTTGTGATAAAGGGGAATCTACTTTTTTTAATCCTGAATAACGCATGAGGTACGAGTAATACATATAATTTCACACCACAATTTTTATTTTGACTGGACAGTTTCACATTTATGATCTCTTTAAATCAGTCGTGACAGACAGACTGTGGACGGGTCTGTGTATTGGTCCAACACGTGCAGCCGCTTTATGTAAAACACGGGGTTACCTGTGCTCCTGGGGTCAAAGGTCAAGCGGTGCGTGCATTTATCTGCTCGAGGTCATTCACAGCAGCTTTATTTGGACTTGAACAAACACATGAGCTCAGGAGAGAGACGCGTGGTCCCAGATCACCATGGTCATTTAGATTCTGAGAACTAAACCAGGACTAGACTAGGACTTAACCAGGACCAAACCAGGACCAAACCAGGACTAAACCAGGACTAAACAAGGACTAAACCAAGACTAAACTAGGACCAAACCTGGGTGAAACCATCACCATGATCAAATTATGTTTTAAGAACCAAACCAGGATTTAAAGATGTAATATTATGGATTTTATTGTATTTAAGAATTAACTTTCCCTCTTCCACCGTTAGCTCACCTTGGTGGAGTTTACTCTCCCCAATGATCCTAGGAGCTCTGTTGCCCGAAGCATTATGCCCCTGTAGAGTCTCCCAAGGGAACAGGTCCTGGGTGAAGGGTCTCACTGTTGATGGTGTCCATCAGGACAGAGAGGAGAGGAGCAAAGCTGTAGCACCACCTGCCGGCCCCAGCGTATTTTAAGGGTCTTTTGGCAGCGTCCGGAGCCGGTCTTCAGCTCACGTCTCCAGAGGGGAGCTGGGGACATGGAGGGGACCATGTTCTCCTCCTCTGTCATTGATGTGGCTGCTCGTAGCTGTGGTCGTGAGGTCTGTGGGGCCTTTCATGGCGTAAGAGATGCTGTCAGGCTGAGGAGCTGATGGGTACAGACAGGTCAAGTGTGCAGGTGCTCGTACTGACACCAAAGAAAAAACTCAGGATTGGAGGAGGTCAGACTGGCCCTGGAGGAGGACCATCAGTCAGACTCTAAGAAACTCTGGCAAACCGTCTGACGCCTCAAGAGGGGTAAGCAGAACTTCACCAAAGCTTTTAGTGAGCCTAAACTTGGAACAAACTTTACAGGAGTCAAAGAGTCAAAGTCGTGGTAAAACACTATTGTAGCCACAGCTGCCCTGGGGCAAACTGATGGAAATGAGACTCACAATCTGCACCATCGGCCCCTGCCACCACCAACACTCACACACTCAGACACATCAGACACAGAAGTTCCAAAGCACTCAATCTTGAAATGCAGGAGCACACATGAAAATTCAAACAAGCAAGAAGCACTGAAAATACATAAAGGGAATAAAAGTTTACATTTCCTTAACAATGAATAATGGCACCACTTTCTGAAACTACTATTAACAAATAATTTCATTTGTGTTTGTTTACACTGACAGAGAAGATGCTGAACTTTGTATGTTTTGTGTGTAATTACAGAGATATGAACGTAAACCAGGTCAGCAAATCTGCAACCTGACATTTACACAGCAAATTCCACCACAGAGCTCTGACCTGTCTCCAGCTCAGTGTAAACTGTAATATGATGTCACGTGAGCCCTCTCTTCTCCACCCCTCTTCATCTGTGACTCCTCTTTCTCTTCTGAGTCGGAGGGCCGCCCTTTAAAAGACCTGCTCCTCCTCCACAGCACTCAGTCTGTTCGGCCAGACAAGAGACCGAGATCCAAACCAGAGACCAAGATCCAGACCAGAGGCCAAGATCAAGATCCAGAGACCGAGATCCAGAGCAGAGACCAGAGAAGATCCAGAGCAAAACCAGAAACTAGAGTCTAGACCTCAAGACCCAAGATCAGGGAGAATCCAGATCTGTTATCCAAGACGAGAGCCCAAAGAGAATCCGGACTAAGATCAGACACACAAGACTGGGTCAAGATCTGGACTTGTCTGAAGAAGAAGAAGTCCTAAATTAAAATAGGTTTTGGAGTTTTTTCTGTAGTGAAACTAAAATGGATCAAAAGTTGTGGAGCCTGAGGAAAGCTGCTGCTCTGCTCCTCGTCTGGACTCTGCTCATTCAACAGGTGAAAAGCAAGATTTAAAAACATAATTTAAGATGAACTAATGTCTAAAGTTTTGTTTAACTTGCACTTTCTAAACTTATTATTTCTGTTTTAGCAGTTTAATAATAAGAAACAGGACTAAACCAGGGACAAACTAGGTCTAAACCTGGACAAAACCTGGACTTAAACTGGACAAAACTTGGACAAAACCTGGACTAAACCTGGACTTAAACTAGATGAAACCTGGACTTAAACTGGACTAAACCTGGACTAAACCTGGACTAAACCTGGACTTAAACTGGACTAAACCTAGACAAAACCTGGACAAAACCTGGACTTAAACAAAACCTGGACTTAAACTGGACAAAACTTAGACAAAACCTGGACAAAACCTGGACTTAAACAAAATCTGGACTGAAACAGGACTAAACCATGACTAAAACCAGACTAAACCTGGTCTAAACATGGACTTAAACCAGTCTGGGATCTCATTATAAATGTATTTGAATAAAATATAAATATGTTTTGTCTGAACAAGGACGGGAAAAAAGCTCGCAAAATATGTAGTATTATAGAATATAGAGTTGTGATGACATCTGAAATCCACCAGTACAAGACTTTTATCATTTACAATTTGCCGTTCTTCAGATCAGTGCTGGTCCAGTGGTGCCTGCGGGTGGCCCTGACTCCCCGGTCCCGGCTCAGTCCCAGGTCCGGACTCTGCGGAGGACGGCGCGGATGACCCCTCTCTGGAGGATTCTGAACAGTAAACCTTTCGGAGCGTACTGCCAGAACAACTACGAGTGCTCCACTGGACTCTGCAGGTACTTTACACCACCACGTTTTCAGATTTTTCTTTAAACGGGGGCTATTATGCACATTTTTGGAGCTTTCTACCGTATTATAACATTGTTCCCTTATCAAAAACTTGCCTAAAGAGGTTTTAGATGTCATGCATACACGGGGAGCAAAGAGCGGGGAGACTCAGAACATCAAAAACATGTTAATACATTGTTTTCAGTGAATATAGCATTTTCAAAACAATAAAAGGTGATCTAATTATGTGTTAGCAATTAATACCCTATAGAAGTAAAGAAGTAATATACCCCTTATTTAAAACGCATATGACAGGTTAGACTATTCATTTCAACGTATTTGAAGATTACACAAAATATTTGACCTAGAATTTTGGTGAAGTTTAAAATTTTACTTTCTGATTCGACACGAACAGCAGTGTCATAATTAGAAAAATTGTTATATGCACTTTAAATTAGGGTGATCAGACATCCCTGTTTAGCCCCAGTTTTGAGCCCAACAGCGTTATCCAAAACCATTGATTTGTTCCAGTTTTGTACAAGAAATGTCCCAACAGCGTTTATCCAAAACCATTGATTTATTCCAGTTTTGAACAAGAAATGTTCCAACAGCTTTATCCAAAACCATTGATTTGTCCCACTTTTATGCAAGAAATGTCCCAGATATCCCTATTTTTGTGCCAACAGTAAAGAGAGGCAGAAACTGTCATTTGTTTAAGTAAAGTACAGAAAAGCTGCTTAAAAACAACCAAAACACAAAGAAAATGTGACTATACTGACTCGTGTTAGTCATGAATGGGCTGAATGCATGCACATTTTTATTAATTATGTACTCGTTTCAGTTTTTGATCTTGAAAATCTGGTCACCCTACTTTAAATAAAAGTTTGCAGTGGTCCAAAATTATTAGAGCGGCAACAACTAGCATGCTAACATCACACTTCTCATTCGGAAAGTAAAATCCTTTATAATTAGATGCAGATAATACACAATATACAAAATATCTGTACTGGGGCAAGACACGTTTTGCTCAAATATGTGGTATAGGTGAACTTTTGAAATAAAATAACAAACGTCTCAAAGAAGCCGTCATTTTAAATTTAATCTATTGTTTTTTCAGGGCTGGATTCTGTGCCACGATGCATCGCTCGGCAACCGTTTCTGTCACCAACTGAACCAAGTCCGGACGAGATCCAGGTTCAGGATCAGGATTTGGACTTTTTCAAACGGGACTTGTGCATACTCAATGATTTTTAATTTAGTTACAGTGAAGTCAAAATGTTGAGCTCCGTTGCCTGATCAGCCAATTTAAAGGGGCACTGTGTAACTTTTCAGGTGGAGAATACGTCACCTGCTTGTCTCCGTGAAGGAATATTCCACAGTATGGCTTTAAACCTTTCTATTTATTTAATCACACGTTATTTTATTGCCAGAAAATGCTTTTGGACTTATTGGCTTGTCTCCATGGTGATTTATATATTTTAACACCATTCTGTGGAACCTTCAAGTCAAAGCAATAACATCTCCATGGAAACGGGCAAAAAAGTTACACAGTGCACCTTTAATATGCAGATTGTGTGACGTGTTCGGAGAAATAGAGGGAGATTAAGTTAAAGATTTTGGGATTTCTTGTATTTTCAAAAAGGGTTATAAGTATAAGTAATAAGGGTTTAACTTTTTATACCTGATATTTGTTTTTTGTTTGTTTGTTTTTTTTACATTGTGCAAAAGCTTAAACAAGTTATCAGATTTTGAGTTCTCAGAAAAACAACAGAACCTTGAACTTAAGCCAGTGTTCACTCATATCTTGGTCTGTTGATATAAAACTGTCCAAAAAATACAACAAGATCTATTTATATTTTAACCAAAGTACTCTTAGTATTCACTTTATCACAAAGAGATGGCTTCAGTGAATAGAACTGGTTCAGTCCTGGTTTAGTCTTGGTTTAGTCCTCGTTTAGTCCTGTTGTAGATTTGATTTAGTTCTGTCGTAGTCCTGGTTTAATTCAAGGCTGCACGCCAGATCAGAATTGGGACTGAACAGGACTAAATCTGGACTAAACCAGGACTAAATCTGGGCTAAACCATGACTAAATCTGGACTAAAACAGGACTAAATTTGGACTAAAGGGTTAGACCAGGGACTACAATGGGACTAAGCCAGAACTATACCAGGACTATATCTGGACTTTATTTATTGATCAGATCTTTCGTCGTCAATCTTTTGTCATATGTGGTTTATTTAGAGGCAGGTTGTGTTCCAGTTTACATGAATGAACTTTTTGTTTCAGGAATTTAAACAGGTAAACCAAGTCCAAACCAGTTTTAAACCGGGACTTAGTTAAGTCTTAAAAAACAGAACAAAAGCAGTGCTATGACCAGACTCAATGTATAAAAAAAACATTATACTCAAATGTAAACCTGGACTAAACAGGTCTAAACCAGGGCTAAACCAGGACTAAGCATGGATTTAAACCAGGTTTAAACCAAATGTAAACCAGGCCTAAAACGGGGCTAAACCAGGATTATTAAACTAGGACTAAACCAAGACTATACATGGACATAAACCAGGTCTAAACCAGATCTAAACCAGGACTAATCCAGGTCTAAACCAGGTCTAAACATGGACTTAAACCAGGTCTAAACCAGATCTATACCGAGACTAATCCAGGTCTAAACCAGGACTAAACACGTATTTAAACCAGGGACGTAAACCAGGGGGGTAAAATCATGTAGAAAAGAAATTTTTAAGAAATCTCTTTGTTATATTTTGTTTTATTTTTTAGTTCTCACATGGATCGGCCAAAGCTTTTCCAATCACTTTAACATTACCTGCTCAGACAAGATCTTTACATATGAGCTCATGTTTAGACCAGACTTTTGTTTTTGCACATAAGATTTAAAATCATTTCGGAACATTTGTCTGGGCAGAATTGCACTTTTTAAACTTTAAATTATCCTTGTACTGTGACCGGATGTACTGTATGTATGAAAAGAAATGTGGAAAAGAAAATTGAAATAAAAATTTGGGGAGTTTGTTTTGTGAATCTATAGAAAATAATGTTTTGTTGCTTGGTTTATGACGACATCACTACATTCATACTTAGCAGTGGGGGTCTTCTACATGTATCTCTATTGGTGGAAAGTTCAGCAGTGACACATTGCACACATTAGCAAACCTTTTAAGGTAGTTTGAAAATTTAAAAAAGTTACCATCACATCACCAGGGAAAGTTGACGACCTTAGCTGCAACATATCAATAGGCCAATCATATTTAATCTAGATGGGGACAACAAAAATGAATCTTGGTGAAATGCAGATGTGAGTTCTTGGGCCGAGTCACTAACAGAAATGATCACGTTCAACATTTCTGAATTTACCTTTTGGATATTTCATGGTAAAGTGCAATGTCATTCAATCTGTCTCTTTAATCATCTGGGAGTATGACATCTGAGACACCTATAAAATATTACAGGTGTACAGAATGGCTCTTTTGCATGGCCCCATTGGCTCACAGTGAAGTCTCTAAAAGTTTATGAGAATTATAAATCACACTGTCTGTTGGCTGTTTAAACGTGCAGAGAGAAACTGCAGAGTCAGCGCTTTTGTCAGGAGGAGCTCATAAACTCCAACTCTGGCTTCAAAACTGATCTCAGCTCACGCGAGTCCAACTCCAACATCTGGAAACACGACCAGTGAAAATCTGGATTTGTAGAGTACATTTTTGCACAGTAATTCAAAGTGTTTAATGGATTAAGAGAAGCATTAAAATCACAAACAAACCACTTTAAAAGAGGAGCGAGCAGAATACAGAATACTGGTACAATGCATCTCTCCTGTTAAGGTTAATGTTAAAAATTGTGCGCTGTCCCTGTCTCAAATAAATAAATATAAAAAAATATATAAATAAAAAATAAATTAATAATTCAGTTCTTTGCTCAGCTAAACAGAACTGAGCGGGGACTAAACTAAGGACTAAGAAAGACTAAACCAGGACTAAGCAGGACTAAACCAGGATTAAACAGTACTAAAGCAGACCTATAGGAGGACTAAAACAGGACTAAAGAAGAAAGCCAATGCCTAAGGTGTGAGTGAGTGAGTCCGGGACTAAACCAGGACTAAACCAAGATTAAACCAGGACTTGTGGCCAGCTTGCCAAAGCCTGATGTCGTCTGATGTCAGAAGCAAAGCAGGGCCAGACCGGGGTGGTACTTAGACAGGAGACCACTGGGAACACCAGGTGCAACAGTGGGACACCAGTGGTAAACACTGTTGTTGTATCTTTAGGGAAGACCCTTCACCCACATTGACTCTTATGTAAATGGTGTGAGTGAGTGCTGATGGTGGGAGGGGTCGATGGCGCAGATTGGCAGACTCAGCAGTCAGTCCCAGGGCAGCTGTGGCTACAATAGTGTCTCACCACCACCGAGTGTGGAGTGAATGAATAATGCTGTAAAGTGCTTTGGGTGTCTTGAAAGGCTCCGTATAAATCCAATGATTAAGACTATGTCAGAACTATCAGGAGTAAAGCAGGAGGCTGGTCCCCTTGAAAGTCCAACCAGGTCTCAAACTGCACTAAACCAGGTCTAAAGCAGGACTGAACTGGATCTGAGCGAGGACAGGACTAAACCAGGTCTGAGCCAGGACTGCAGAAGGACTACATCAGTGCTAAAGCAGAACTAAACCAGGTCTGAGCCACGGACTGAACTAAGTCTGAGCCAGGAGATTACATCATTCTTAAAGTAGAAGGCATCCCCTTGAGAGTCCAACCGAGACTAAACCAGTAAACCAGGACTACCAGGACTAAACCTGTGGAATCATATTCTGCAACACTTTCTTCCATAGCTCTGTGATTTTTATTTGTTATAAATCTAATGTTGTATAATTTCAGTGCTCAGGGCGGGTCTGGTCTGAAGCACCTCACTGGAGGATTCTTTGTGCATGTTTTCAGTCGTTGGAGGAACAAGAAGCACCCAGATACAGGCCGACCATGCAAACTGCTCATGGTGTGGCTCCATGGCGGCCCCTTCTGGTCATGTTACGTCGCTGCACATATGTCCTGCTCCGTATTCATTTTGCAGGATGTTGACAGAGACATTCAGGTCAGAGTTTACTATGAGACACTATATATACATCATGGACTGTAGTTACTGTATCTGGCATGTCTGGACACGACCATCATAGAGACAACTCCCTTTGACCTATTTTTCTTATCTAATCCAACAGTAATGACAGAAGTTAAAAAAAAAACACTAGTCAATCAATGTGAAGTAATACAAGAAATCCACATTATAGGACAGTGAAATTGTGATTGCTGTGTTTCAGATGACAACACGACATTCTAGGGCAATAATATTTAACACAGATGGTGGCATCTATATTAATGCAGTTAAAATGCAGATTTGTGTTGTAAAATTTAAAATCTACCAATAGGCAGTGTTGGGAGGGTTACTTTTAAAATGTATTCCCCTACAGATTTAATCCATTAAATTACTTAAAGTGAGTAACGTAATCTGAATATTTTGGATTACTTGATATTGTCATGTTTTTTTTTTTAAAACTACATGAATGTAGAAACCACATCCTGAAAATTCTTGTTGGTTCTCTTCAAAAGTCTCCATGAACAGACTTTTGTTTTACTGTAGAGTAGAAAAAAATGAAGATTTTTTATTTGCTAAAAGACAAAAAAAAAAAAAGTCCAGTCTTTCCTTAACCAGATTAAAAATATTATTGATAGAGAAATTATTTTTATATGAGATCACTGCTGCTTTAAATTATGCCCACCCTACTGTTAGTGTCATATTGTTTACACCTGGATTAGACCTGGTTTAGTCCTGGTTTAGACCTGGTTTAGACCTGGTTTAATCCTGGTTTAGTCCTGGTTTAGTCCTGGTTTAATCCTGGTTTAGTCCTGGTTTAGTCCTGGTTTAGACCTGGTTTAGCCCAAAATGTGAAAACAGTAAAACGCCGCTGTGTAATCCATTTATTTCAACAAAGTAACTGTACACCAATTACCACTCACTGAAACAGTAACTGTAACTGAATACAGTTACTCATCATTTGTACTCTGATTACATAACTCTGGTACATGTAATCTGTTACTCCCCAACACTGCCAATAGGATGACACATTTTAAAGGTGCATTGTTTAGCTTTTCACGTGGAGGCTCTGTCCATAGTTTTTCTCCATGGAGATGTTAGTGCTTTGTCTACTAAGTTACAGGTCAGATCCGTGGAGAGGCAACCCCGCTCACAGTCAGAATGTCAGTTTTTCTGGGTATTTTTGAGCTATAAAACCACCTGTAATTGAATAAATGTAAAGAAGAGCTGTTTAATGTCATACTGTGGAACATTTCAGGCAGAGTAACGGCATATCCATAGAAACAAGCAGGTGATGGACCCCCAACCAAAAAGTTACATAGTGCACTTTTAATAATTAAGAAAACAACCAATGTGTAATACAGGAAAATGTCGTGTTCTTTTTCTAGGACAGTGAATTTGAGCTCAAACTTGTGTGCAGTTCATAAAGTCTGGCAAAAACATCACACTAAAACCAAGACTACCCATTCAAACAGAGGTCTGCAGCGCCCTCTGCTGGCCACTCCCCACAATTACACCCCATGTTGCACACTCAGGGACAAAAAGGAAATCTGAAGTTGTTTATTCAAGTTTTACTCTTTTATTACAGTTACATTTACACAATAGTTATTATTTGATTGATAAAATATATGACAACACTTTTATCTTGTGAAATTAAGGTTATTTTCAACTTTGATGATGATAAGTTTATTCGGATGTTTAAATAATAAATTGCATTATCATACAGTAAATGATAAATTGCATATGCAGTAATCAACAGATACATAAAGACTATTGTTTTACATTGCTCATCACAACTATAATCTCCAAAAAGAAAAAGGAAAAAAAAAAAAAATATATATATATATATATAGTATGTCACATTACTCCTGATACAAAAATAAATATAGCGTAGTACTTTAATTCCTTCTGAAGCATGCATATCTATAATCATTTCTTTATATTTATGTTTAAACATTTTCATATTTGGACATTTTTTGAGTTCAGATTTTGACCCCTCAAACTGAAATACAAACTTTTTCTAGTTGTATGGACTCTGGCCATTTTAAAGAGATGAATTCCCCTTAAATTATAAGTTGTCTCCCTTTCTGAATATTTTTTGGTAGTTCCTTCCTTTCTGCCTTGTACATTATTTTTGCTGTCTGGAAGCTTATCAAATCCTTCAGTTTTAAAATTTTGAAAGTGATAAATAGCTGGTTGGTGTGGTCATAAAACCCAACGTTATGAATTATCTGTAGTGCTCTTTTCTGTAATATGAATAGTGTTTCCAATATTGTTTCATAATTATTATCCCAGATCTCAGCACAGTATGTTAAATATGGTGCAACTAAAAAACAATAAAGTGTATGTAGAGCTTTCTTGTCCAGAAAATATTTGGCCTTACCTAATTCTGCTATATGTGCTATTAAACTTTTTCTCCACAAACTTGAAGATATATTAGATACAGTATATTACACAAAATTGACTCTTGTGAGCTTCAAGACATGTTAGAATACAGAATACAGTCTTCAAGTAAGAACGTTTGAGTAAGTTTACAGTAAAAATAAAGCCTCCATCATTTATTTAATTCTTGTTCAAGCATAACTAGGTCTATTAATACTTTTAATACTTTGAGGCTTATGTCATGAATATTCCCATAGGGTGTGAAGCTAACTGGAGGAACTACTCTATTTCAGGCTCTGTTACTCATGTTAAACTTTAATCTGAGTTTTTTTTTTTTTTTTTAACACAATCTGACCAAAAAGAACTGAATCAGCACGTGAGCTGATTTGTGCTGTTAAACAAGTTTCTCTCACAGTTACATCTTTATTAACAGTTTTGTAGTTAGTCAGTCTCACTTTTTTTTAAAAATCAAACTCCTAAACAGGACCATGAACACTTCGTTTTGATCACAGTCTCAAATGAAAATGTGTTTTGTGTAATGTAAAAACTTTTTGGGCTGTGTGCCGTTGTGTGCATTGTGTCACCATGGTAACTACCAATCATTCCTCTATAGACATGCATGCTGTACCCCCAGAGTGATGTCACCGCAAAGTATCAATACAATTTACAATAATTGTCACTGAGTCAAAAAAAAACAAACTACAAACATTCAGATTTTTAAAAGTACAAGACAAAAGGTGAGAAAATACACAGAAGCACAGTAAATGTCTGATCCTATAATAGACAGTACCATATTTTCCGCACTATAGGGCACACTTAAAAGGCTTTAATTTCATCAAAAAGCAACTGCGCACTTTATAATCCAGTGCGCCTTATATATGAATTGATTCGGGTGTCTTAGTATGACTTTAGTAAACTACAAAGCCTTGCACTTACACTTGCACTTACACTTGTAGTGTAAGTATCGCGGAATAATACATACTGTGATTCCTTTTCATGTCAAAATGCACCTGTCAAGAGACACGATTACAACGCCCACTTTAAACTTAAGGCTGTTATAAAGTGAAAGTGTGAGCTGCGTGGGAGCAGTGGATGAAAGAAGACAAACACACATTCACCAAGACAGAGAGACAGCGCTGAGCGACTTACGCCACGATCTGCCAATGGATCGTGGACGCCTGGGCTAAGGATCAGTATCAACTGTGGTCTGAGCTTTCACCAAGACCCGAATCATCATGAACTGCCAGGTAAGAGTAACAACACTGACTCGGATAATGACGAGAGGGATGTGGGCGTGCTGGACGCTGTAATTGCCCAACAGTTTGAACAATTATGAGTTATTGTGAATTTAGCGGTCTCACACAGTATTTTTTTATGCATTACAACTGAATAAAGTTTGACTGACTTATCTAACTGTTGTGTTTCATTTAATGTGCCTTATAGTCCAGTGCGGTTTATATATGAAAAAAGTTCAAAAATTGACCATTCAATGACACTGCGCCTTATAATCCAGAGCGCCCTATAGTGCAGAAAATACGGTAGTTCAGTTGGAGTGCCCACTGATCCAAAGGTTGGTGGTTTGAATCCTGCTCCATAAGCATCATTGCAGAGTGGTTAGATCCACTGACCCATAGGTTGGAGATGCAAAATTCAGTTCCCACAGATGAATGCAGTTGTTCTGTCCTTGGGCAAGACACTTAACCCCCACTCGCTCCCAGTATCTGCATACACAGGTGTATGAATGTGTGTGTGAATGAGTGAGTGGCTCCTGTAAAAGCGCTTTGTGACTGTTTACCATGTGCTGTTATGAGGCAAATACAGAACTATTTCAAACATTATAATACTGAATCATTTGAGACATTTTAAGCTTTGGGTCACGTCCTTCTACAGGGGAAAGACCATGAAGCCGGAGAAGGTGGAGTACTTCCATCCGCCCTGCAGGTGTCCTCGCTCCAGTCTGAGGTTGACCCTGTCCCCGGTCTCCATGACGACCAGACCGGAGTTTGTGGCGGCCTCTCGGGTCACATCCTGGTCCCCCGCGAAGGCTGAGAGCACGGGCCAGCTGTTCACCTGCAGACTCACCTGGAACAAAAGAGGAAGTGTTTAACATCTCCATGGAGACAAGCAGGCTACAGAGTGCACCTGATATAGATACTTTGCAGTAATGTTACGCTGGGGGTGTTCTACATGTATCTCTGTGGTCTAATTTTCAGGAGCCTGTGGTCAATAAAAGCGTTCATTGTCCTGTTTAGGAGTTTGATTTTCAACAAAAAGGTGAGAGTGACTAACTGAAAAACTGTTCAACTGCTCTAGTTCCAGCTAAATCAGCTCTTTCTGGTCAGAATATGTTAAAATAAAGCTCAGATCTGACAGTAGTGCTTTCAGTTAGCATCACATGCCCAGGGAATATTGATGACATCAGCTGCAAAGTATCAATAGAGGCTATATGTGCGTTTTTACCCTAAATAATTTGATGATTATGTCGAGCTGTTTTACCTTTTATGAATCTCTGTCTGTTCTGAGTGACTGACGCTTTTACTTCCACTATAACTATCCCTTTAAGGCTGTGGCTGAGTTTAATGTGGCGCATCGACCGAATATATGAGTGGAATACGCTAGCCTTAAGGTACAAAAAAGGAAGTTCCCCAGGAGGCTCTTCTGGCTCCTTCTGTACACGCTGCTGACTTATGACTGTGTGGCTCACTATTCATCCAATCATATAGTGAATTTTGCTGATGACATAACAGTGGTGGGGCTCATCAACGATGAGCAGAAGGCAGGTCTGTCAGCTGGAGACCTGGTGCAAAACTAACAATCTATGCAGCAATGTGAAGAAAACAAAGGAGATGATCATGGATTTCCGCAGGGAACCTAAAGCCCCTTCTCCTCTATACATCAGTGGAGATGCAGTGGACATTGTCTCCTGTTTTAAATACCTTGGAGTCCAAATCCTGAACAATCTCAGCTGGTCAAACAACACCAGTTGCATAGTGAAAAAGGGACACCAACGCCTATACTTAGGCACCTCAAAAGAGCAGGTCTCAGCCCCTCTGTCCTGAAGGCCTTTTACAGGTGTGCGATGGAGAGCATCCTCACATCCAACATGACTGTGTGGTTCAGCAGCAGCACCGTGGCAGAGAGGAAAGCTCTGCAGAGGGTAATTAAAGCTTCTGAGTCCATCTGCAGCTGTAATCTGCCCTGCATGGAAGACATTTACATCAGCAGGTGCAGGACAAAAGCCTACAGCATCATGGAAGACTCTACCCATCTAGCACATGGACTATTTACAGCTCTTCCATCAGACAGAAGATTGTGCCACCTACAGGCCAGGACCATGAAACTACAGAACAGTTTTTACCCTGATGCCTTTGAAACAAATCAATTCTGTCAAAAAGCCCAGACACTAATGCACCCTTACAAAATAGCACTGACTTGCAACTCACTTAAGAAAAAGGGAGCGTCTGGGGGCTGTCTTTTAAAGATGTTTTATTTGACATACAATATTTTAAACTATTTATTCTTATTATTATCTGTGCTGCTGTTGACCTGGACCTGAGTGCAGTATTTCATTTCTCTCTGTAACTGCTGCTTTTTGGCGTTTTTGTCCGTCAAAAAAATCCTATTCATAACATAGAGCCTGGCTCCAGATTTGCTCCTGTAACCATGAGCATCGTGAGGATCATTTGAGCGGTGCTTAACACTATGGGTGACATCACACTCGCTTAGTCCATTTCTTTTATACAGTCTATGATGTAGAGTGATCAGGATTTTCCTAAGAACCAAACTAGATGATTTTTGTGCCACTCTTTTGCTGTGACTCTCTCAGGTGCTCAGCTCAGAATTAGCTGTATCTGTATTACTATCTTTCTATATTTTTCATTTCTGTATTTTACATTTATACAGTTATGCCTTATTTGACACCTGTCTCTTGCTATTTTTGCTACTTATTTTAAATGTATTATTATCATTTATATTTTTGCTCTTTGTTAATGTAATATATTGTGATGTGTGAGCTACTGTGTCCAAATCATTTCCCTTTTGGATCAATAAAGTTTGTCTAAGTCTAAGTTTATCACAGACATTGCAGACACACACTTTTTTTTTTTTTTTTTTTTTTTTTTGAAGACAGGAGTTTATAACTCTAAAGAACTATGATAAAGAAGAAACATACACGTGATAAAGAAAAAACATACACAGAAACAACAGAGACCTGCCCACACATTATACTAAGTTCTCTGTTAATATGAGTCACACTGTAATAAAACATGGCACTTTACCACACGGAGGACATGTGTGTGCCGTCCTCTCTGCTCCTCTGTCCATCATCTCTGTGAAGGAGAGGAGCAGGGGCAGAGGAGCTGTGGGAGGCTCAGGTTTTCAATGGGGGTCCACACTTGACATGTTCATTTAGAGCCTTTTATTGATATGCGTAAAGTAGTTCTGCTCTTGTAGTAATTTATAAATCCAGATATGGAATTATTGTTTTATCATAGTCTAATTTTGAACACTCAGTTATGTAATTATGTTTCCTTATCACAAACGTACCTTGACTTCTGTTTTGTTTCATTCTCACGTGTTTAACACACATTTAAACCGTGCATATTAAGGGTATCTAGCACTGACTGATGATGGCTGCACGTGCTGGGCTTTTGCAGTGATGTAGAGTATTCTGAAAATGTATTTAATTACAGAATACTGAATAGATGCATTAAAATGTGTTTTGTAAAATCTTTGGTTACATCGTATAATCATAGTACTGTTGCCATTTGAACATGTTTAGTTGGGACTGGATGTGTTATGAAACTGGGGCAAAAACCTTCAGGGGAGCTATAACTGAGCACTGCTAGTGTCCCTTCAAGCCCCCCATGGCTTCGCCCCTGCCCAGAAGCCCAGAGTGCTGTATCAAGAGGAGATTTGGTGACACAGGTGTTGCCATAAAACCATACTAATGTGCTTTAAAATAAACATCCACTCCACCTTAAGTTAATTTATACTTAGAAAGTATATGCTGAGTTTGTGCCAATTTCTGTTACAAGTGAATAGGCTGAGTAATTGCAGAAATATGAGCCATACACATTCTTGCTTGTGGCCGGACTCACGTGGATGATCTGCCTGTTGTAGACTTTGACCACGTGGAAACTGAAGCTGTACACTCCCTTTCGAGGCGCTACAAAAACGCTCCTGGCGGGGTCAAAATGACCGCCGACGTTAACCAGAATCTGAAAAGAAATGCAAAGACTGTCAATAAAATGAGAACCTTAAATATGATAATTGGTGTTTTGACTGACAATACAAAAGTGAATTCTTGTTTTCTTTCCAAATAGCATTACAGACTACATGCACAATTATGAACACGTGCAACAAAAAATGAAGACGCCCTTGATAGCTTACGTGCACCTCCACCCTTCACTCATGGAGCTGTAGAGGCTGCAGTAGCACTGATTAAATGACCTATTTTCTGATCTATGTTGTTTCCTCATCACAAACAGACCTGGAGTTGTGTTTTGTTTCATTCATTAACACACAAAGTCTGCATATTTAGGCAGAGTTCTTCTCTCAAACTGAAAACACTCTGATCCACCTTGTGATGTCACGTGGTAATACAGGAAGTGCTTCTGTGTGTTTTCAGACTTCACACACATTCACTAGAATCATTCGGATAATTTCACACCTGCAGTTGTCAGTCTTTACTGAACTAAAGGAAAAAGGAACTTGAAAATTACCATTGATTTACCAATGAATTGAATTACCAATTACCATGAAACAAAATTCAACAAGGATGTATGATGTGAAAGCTGTGAGTACTCTCGCCTCACAGCAAGAAGTTCCTGGGTTTGATTCTGTTTCTGGGCCTTTCTGTGTGGAGTTTGCACGTTCTCCCTGTGCCTGTGTAGGTTTCCTCTGGGTGCTCCTGTTTTCCTTAACACTAAACACATAGCGACCCCAGGATAATTTCTTAACTTAAACAAAATATTGAAAAATTACCAAATGAAAGAATCTCAATTTTAGCTCAATCCCTTCAGTCGTTCCTGAGTTATGGCCCTTTCAAATTTTTGGGCCATGCTCACTTTTTCGGAAGCCTTAATTTATAAGCACGTTTGAGAGACCATCACTTCATAAAAAATAGAGCTAGGAAGTTGAAAACTCTCTATCTCAACTTTTGTTGCTTTACTTATACACCACGAAAAGATGTTTCTGTGTGAAATAACATATATTAGTATAAGTAAGTAAGTAAGTAAGCAAGTAATTAAGTCTTTATTTATATAGCGCTTTTGGCAGACATGTGTCATAAAGACGCTTTACAGAGCACTTATCTTCCTCAAATAAAAATAGAATAAATAATGCAAACAAAACTTTTGTCATAATTTTGTACAATGTTAATAGTTGAATTTTCTCAAAGGATTACAAATCTTAAATGACATTCTTAAAGGATAACACTTTTCCAAGCAATGTAGCCACAAATAATCTCCAATTGTCTTCCCTTATAACAAGCAGTTAATGTTTAATGCTACTAAAGGCAACTGAAAAGTGGAAAAGTACCTAAACTCCACCAAAAATGACCCATGAGAGCTCATTTCCAAAAATTCCATTTGAATTGAAGGAAGTTAATTGTAGATGTTTTTTATTACTTTAAACTAATCAGGATATGCCAAAGTTTCTCTGGTAAAAAAAAATATCAACATCTAACTGTGCCCACATGGAGAAAGGGTCCAAAGAAGGGGCCAAAAAGATCACATTTGGTCTGTGACCACATTTAGGACTCTACACCATCAGAAAATCATGTCACCATCAGAAAAGTGTGAGTCTTTCTCTCAAATATTCAGGTTCAACAGTTAGTTTGTAAATATCTGCTTGGAGTAAATAGATCTTGGACCTCAAAAAATAAAAATAAAAAATGAGCAGCAACCAAATGTGAGATTTTGGGGGCCCCTAGCCCCCCAATTAATAAAGATACCCAATATTTGACAACAGATTCAGAATCCATGACCAAAAATCTACAATAATACTCATTTTCCTAGCTCTATTTTTTATGAAGTGATGGTCTCTCAAACATACTTATACATTAAGGCTTCAAAAAAAGTGAGCATAGCCCCAAAATTCCAAGGGGCCATAACTCAGCAACAACTCAAGGGATTGAGCTAAAATTTTAGATTCTTTCATTTAGTCATTTTAGATTTTTTTTGAAATGTTTTCAGCCAAATCTGAGATGGCTCATAGGGGAGGACAGCTGATTTAATATGGACTGACCCCCCTGAAAAAGAAATTCTCCGTGGGACTATTCAGGTTATATAAAGGTCAAAAACTCCAGGTATGTTTATTGGGAGGTAACAACAATATAACATGACCTAAAACTCACAAGAGTCTATTGTGCATAACCTCTAATGACAGGCTGCAGGCAAATATGATGCAGCTCATATTTCACTAATTAAATAAAAACAAATACAAACTTAAAGGTGCACGTTGTTGTTGTCTGTTTGTTTCTATGGATATGTCACTGCTCTGCCTGGAATGTTTCACAGTATGACATTAAATAGCTCTATATTACATTTATTCAATTACATGTGGTTTTACTCCTCAAAAATACTTAGAAACACATGCTGACTCAACAGATCTAACATGTAACTTGGTCTGGTTTGGTCTCTGTGATGATAGAAAGGTTCATGGGGAAAAGTGTTTGACGGACCCTCCACCAGAAAATACAATACACCTTTAAGTACAGTACTTTTACTTCATTACTTAAAGCACTACTTTATACTCCTAAAAAGTATCAATACTCAAAAACTACTTAAAGCGAGCTTTTGTTTTGACCTGTTTTTGTCAGTCATAATGAGTCAGAGCTGAGTCAGGAGCCAGTGTCAATCAATCTGCTGGGAATCTGATGAAACATATTTCTCTAACTGAATCTAATTAAACTAATAAATACAACAGAATAACAATAATAAAAAAAAGAATAATAACACAGCTGCAATAATACAACAGTAATTCAAGCAGAAGTAAGTTGTTTTTGTTTAATTAAAATAAGATAGAAAAACACACATGGATTTACAGAGAACAATCAGATCTGAATGAAAGGCCCCTTATGACGCTATGTTCTGATCTGTTGTTTTGTTTCCTCTTCAAAAACATATGTGGAGCTCTTCTCTCAGAACAGAAAACACTTGATTCCACCTTGTGACGTCAAGTGCTAATACAGGAAGTGCTCCATTGTTTTTAAACTCCACACCTTCATTAGAGTTTGGATGATTTCAGCCCTGGAATTACCAATCTCTACTCAACTAAAGGTAAAAGGAGTTGTTAACTTGAAAACTAGCATTTCATGACATCACAAGATGGAACAGAGCATTTTGAACTTCGAGATGACGTATTAATGGTGCAAGACTAGTTAGACATGTGTGAATAAAACAAAACATAACTCCAGGTCTGTTTTTAAGCAAAAACTTTATAACATGACTTAAAGCTCACAAGTCTTTTTTGTGAAATATAGGACCTTTAATTCCTCATGTTGTCTGGCAGGGGTCTCTAACCTCTTTCGTCCAATGAGCTACCTTTACAAAAACAAAATGCCAAAGAGCTACAAATTTTTCCTACGCTCACAAGAAATTGAGCATAGGAAAGCCTTAGATGGGGAACAGGTAGATACCTATACGCTATACAATACATAAACCTTTATCCATTTATTAGTGCACACATTTTGGCATCCAAATGATACATTTTCAATAGTAGATCATCCAATTTGAGTCATTCAGCACAATATGTATAGTACAGAAATCATTTTCAAGCTATTTGGAAAGAGGTGGAGAGCTACTGTTAGCTCCTGAGCTACAGATTGGAGATCCCTGTTGTGTAGTGTGAAATCCAAAAAGCTGATGAAAGAAACATGCAGTGGACACCAGGCTTTAAAGCTGCACCACTACGTTCAACATCTGTGGATTGTAAAGTAAAACATATCTTCCTCAAAGAGATCTCATTGCTCTTCCTCGAATTTTCCACAGTGTGACATTAAACAGCTCCACATTACATTTAGTCAGGGAGGTACTGGGACCAAAGAAGAGCCCTATAAATAGGCCTGCCAGAAGAAAACACACAGAGATTAACTATTTCTGATTGTTCATTAACAAAAACACCTAAGTCACTTCGAAGTGACTTAGTTTTTTTGTCTTTAACCTTTTCTCATCTACCTTTCTCCTTAGGTTTTCTGTTTGACATCTTTGACATGTGTTAAAACCAACGAGTAACCCACTCTTCTTTGTCGCGTTTTAGGCCTATGCAATTTATGCTTGACAAATGAGCAAATGACCAGAAAAGGATGGAAAAGTTCAGAATTGCCAGTCCACCCCTGCATTTATTCAATTACAGGTGGTTTTACTGCTCAAAAATACCTCGAAAAACAGGCATTCTGACTGTGAGCGGGGTTGCCTCTCCACAGATCTGACCTGTAACTTGGTCTGATTTAGTCTCCGTGAAGATAGAAAGGGTTAAACACCATGCTGTGAAACATTCCAGACAAAAAGTAATAACATTTCCATGGAGACAAGCGTTTGACGGATCCTCCACCTGAAAAGTTACACAATGCACCTTTAAACCCACCTGATCGAAGTAGATGGTCATGGTGTGGTTGCTCATCTCAGAGGGTTCGTGGTTGGTGCTTCTCACGGCGGAGAAGGCCACCCTGGCACCGCCTGACCTGACGGACAGGCCCAGAGCGCCCCCTGCCGGCTCTGCTGAGGGGGAGGAGTCGCACACCACCAGGCACTTTCCCTCCAAAACCACCGGCTCTGTGTCGTTCTGACCTCTGACCTCCAGTGCCCCCCGCTGGACCAGACACAGCGCTACAAGCAGGAGGGGGCCAGAGCGCTGCATGTTTCCACAGTCAGAGGAGTTCAGTGAAGGTGTGGCATCTGTCTCTCTCTCTCTATCTATCTGTCTGTCTCTCTCTATCTATATGTTGTCAAACTTGATTTATATTCTAAGGAAAAGGTTTATTACTCAATACTGATTTTAATACCACAATCATGAGGAAATAAAACACTTAGAATACAATGAAATTTTCAGCCTAAATTAAAATTTAACTAGGTGTTCCTCAGTGGTGTTTATAAAGTTCAAGATTACACTGAAGAGGTCAAATTTTGTAAAGCGGGATCATGTGGGATTATTTCTGATTTTTGATACTTTTCACCACCCTACTGTCCAACCCTACTGTCTATCTTTCTATTTCTGTCTATTTGTGAATTTCTGATTTTAACAAACAAATCACAATGGTAAATGTATTGATTAACTTCTGCTATTCAGGTTAAAATACCAAATGTACACATATTTTAAAAAAGGTCAAGACTGTAGAAGATTTAGTGGGTCTAAATGTCAAAGTATTCTATTTGTAATTTGTGAAAAATTATAATTTATCAAACTATATATTTAATCTATCTATCTATCTATCTATCTATCTATCTATCTATCTATCTATCTATCTATCTATCTATCTATCTATCTATCTATCTATCTATCTATCTATCTATCTATCTATCTGTCTGTCTGTCTGTCTGTCTGTCTGTCTGTCTGTCTGTCTTTCTGTCTGTTTATCTCTCTGTCTCTTACTGTTCTATTTCTGAAACTGCAAATCAATACTACGTTTTTCTGTTAATTCCAAAACGTAAGATTGTTTCTTATTAAGTTTCACAGTTCCAATTTAAGCTTGCAGATTTCCCCACAGGTCACAGGAACTCCAAACATGGCTGACAGGAATTTGGCCAGTCCCGAATCTGTGTCAACATGAAACCTGCAAACAACACATGGACATTTGTTTAATCATGAACTCTCACGAAGTCTTATAATCACACACAAATTATTCAAATTTACAGGCATATTATTATGAGTGATTATATTACCCTCTTTATTGTTGCTTAGAATCATATGATGAAAACATGGCCTACTTTCTTAGACTTCTTTTAGAATAGAGCTGAAACTGTGTAACTTTTCTGGTTGGGGATCCATGACCTGCTTGTTTCTGTTTTGTATTAATATGTCATTGCTCAGCCTGGAATGTCCCACGGCATGGCATTAAACAGCTCTACTTTACATTTATTAAATCCCAGGTGTTTTTATAGCTCAAACATACCTAAACATAAAACAGACATTCTGACTGTGAGAGGGGTCACCTCTTCACAGATTTGACCTGTAAACTGGTCTGGTTTGGTCTCCATGAAGATAGTCTGAAACATTCCAGATAAAGCAATAACATCTCCATGGAGAAAAGCATTTGGCAGACCTTCCACCAGAAAAGTTACACAATGCACCTTTAAAATAAATACATATTTTGTTTTCGTTTTCTCTCCTTTACACGTCTCCAGAGTGGTTCTGGCAGCACAAGTACATGACAGATCCCACCACGGCCTGGCAGCTCGGGCTGGTTCTGTTCAACGTGTTCTTTAACAGAATGCCTTTAGTCCAAGAGAAGACCATCGCCTCAAGAACCAAGTGTCCCAATTCCATCCTCTCTTCAAGAGGTAAACTACAGCTCCAACCATGTCACTCTGACTGACACAGTGTTCCTGTTTTTAAGGGTGCACTGTCTCACTTTTTGATTGGGGGTCCATCACCTGCTTGTTTCTATGGATATTCATTGCTCTGCCTGAATGTTCCACAGTATGACATTAAACAGCTCTACATTACATTTATGCAATTACAGGTGGTTTTATAGCTCCAAATTACTTACTTAAAACAGACATTTTGACTCTGATTGCCACAGATCTGAGGTTTAATGCTATACTGTGAAACATTTCAAACAAAGCAATCTTGTCTCCATGGAGGAAAGCATCTAATGGTCCCTCTACCAGAAAAGTTACACAATGCACCTTTAAGCCATGTTGTAATGTTGTCATCTCCTCAAAACATGAGGATTGTTTTTGTTTTGTTCTCACATGTTTGATTCTTTATTATTATTAATTTTGTATTATTAGTCTCCGGAGCTCAGAACACTCTGTTCTACCTTGCGGTAATGTGGCATGTGGTAATACAAGAAGTGTTCCGCTGTGTTTTTAAACTCTATATATCTTCACTAGAATCATTTGGATAATTTTAGCCCTGGAATTGCCAATCTTCATTGAACAAAAGATTAAAGTTAGCTGTTAAATTTACATCATGAGGTGGAACAGAGCATTTTGAGCTTTGGAGACATGTGTGATTGAAACAAAGCACAACTCCAGGTATGTTTTTGTTGACATAACAGCATTATAACCTGTCTTAAAGTTCACAAGAGTCAATTTTGCATAATATAGGACCTTTAAGTAAAGTTCAGATACCTAAAGTGTTTACTTAAGTACAGTATTTTACTACTTTGACTTCATGACCTTACACCGCTGACTGTAGCCTCTTGTTTGTGTGAATACAGATTGCAGAGACCTGCTGAAGCGCTGTTTGAAGAAGGATCCTGAGAATCGTGTGACTCTGCAGAGCATCAGGGACCATCCTTGGCTAAGCTCAGAGTAAACGCTCAGGCAGCACATGCAGGGAGGAGGAGTCACCAGGGCTGGATCATAGACTGTATATAGAAGTGGACTAACAGAGTGTGATGTCTCTCATAGTGCTCAGCTCTAGTCAAATGAAACTCAGTGAGGCTAGCAGTTACGGGAGCGAAGTTGGAGCCAAGTTTCATACAGTATTAAGAACAGGAATTTATTTACATACAAAACTGTGTTTGTTCTGTTTCAGTGTGTAACAAAGATAACACCATAAGTGTGAGGCTTCTGTGGCTCTTTAAACTGAGTCAGTCATAAACAGCCCTCAAGAACTGTGTATGTGCTGCACCCACAGACCGTATATATGATTGGACATAGCTAAAGTGCTAGCCTGGCTCTAGATTCGCTCCTGTAACTGTTAGCATCGGAAACTTCATTTGAGTGGAGCTGAACATTGTGGGTGATGTCAGATTCACTTAGTCTGCTTTTTTATACAGTCTATGACTGCACCAAAGCTCACAGATAAGGTCCCTACAGCTTCTCCTTTAAGGTAAGTATTTTTATATCATGTGAGTTCATTGTTTCCTCTGTATTAGGCTCAAACGAGGGTTATTCCAATGACAGCTACTTCAGATTAGCTTTCACTGGAACACATTCATAGATTTATCTTCTTTTTTCTTTTGCAGGTGGATCCTTAGTTATCTCCAGAGCACCTTGAAGTACCTTCATGCTGTGGGCAAAAGTCAAACCAGGAGCACACGTTTAATGCAGACCCTGATGTTTCATGCCTGAGTAGTTCAAGGACACATATCCATGAGGATCGAGATTGTAAATCCAGACAGATATCGCTCCGTATATTTTATACAGAGGGATACCAGTTCAGTCCCCACTCCCATTTCGAGAATGTAATTGTCCAATCAGATTTGTTTCTTTCAGTGATGCAGGTGAAACAAAGGAGGTCATTGGTCATCGCTCAATGATTCTGCAGAAATCTGTAATGTTTTTCACTCCCCTGTGATCTTGTTACCTTCTTTTCCCCTTAAGCAGCCATACTTGTTTTGAAACAGACCATGTGTGTCCTGATTAGCTAATCTACATGTCCATCACACCCAACTGATTTTAGGTAGATTCAATTGTGAACAGACTCATTTTCTTTACTGAAGAAGTGTTTGTTCTGGATCCCACACAAATGTGACTGTGAAGATGAGGTAGATTCCTGAGTAAAAACACAACTACAACAAATACAAGTCAGACTAGCTTCAGAAACTGCCACAACAATGTTCTCCAAGCTTGGTTTTATGTTCCCCAGGTCCTAAACGGACATCTCAAAATGTCAGTGACATCACACGTCAATGCTGCAAATGTGTAAACAATATCCATTGCACATCATCAGTTTAACTCAATAAAGGTCTTAAAATAAACTGTACAGATGAGTTATAATAATTATTTCTATTCCTTTTACAGCTGGGCTCTAGTGCCTAATAGAGTTGTTAAGAGTATCAAAAAACAGACATTAATATTAATAATATTTGGAAAATGCTTCTAGAAGAATTGACAAAAAGATCGAAAACACAAACTAATCCAAGAATTCATATTTTGAAATATGATTATAGTATTTGACATATTATATTGTATGTTTATTAAAACATAAAACACAAATAGCCATGCATCGCTAAAAAAAAAGAAAAAAAAAAGCAAAGTATTTGTCCAGAATTCTTCAACAGTCTCTGCTCTTGTGTTATGTTGCTTTGCAATTCCTTTTTGTACATTATATTTAACCTGACATGGAGCTTTGACATGGGCACCCTCTAAATTCTTGCAGACACATTTAATTAAACCAAAGTCCATACAAGGCACATTCTTGTGTTCAGTTATTGGCAAACAGCACTGGCACCATCACTTTCCTGAAATTGTCTTTTCAAAAACACCTGTCACACCCTGAGACACATTTAAGGTGCGTTTCAGTTACTGGGTTTAATTATAGTGTTTATCCTGGATTAAGTTTATATAAAAACTAAATGATGTTTTGACAGAGAAACAAACATACAATCAGACTCTGTGTGTGTGTGTGTGCGTGTGTGTGTGTGTGCATGTGTGTGTGTGTGTGCATGTGTGTGTGTGTGTGTGTGTTGTGTGTGTGTGTGTGTGTGTGTGTGCATGTGTGTGTGTGTGAGTGTGTTTGTGTGTGTGTACAAATTTATGGATCCAAATTTATGACTCAATTGTTGAAACTTATAATTATGTTTTGGGGATCGGCTCCACAAACTTGTCGTGTTAATCTTATGTCTCAAAGTCCTTTCAACTGACAACAATCACGTCTTTGGGGTTGAATTATGGCACCACTTTGTGAAGCTGTTGTGAGTTAAAGTAATAGTTATTACTGACCATAAACCTGGTCAACAGATCTGTAATTTGACATTTAAAGGACCTATGTTATGCAAAATTAACTCTTTTGAGTCTGAAGCCGTGTTAAATTGCATTTTATTTCATTCACACATGTTTGAGTAACCCTTTATTAGTCCGTCCACTTCTCCCAAGCTCAAAATGCTCTGTTACACCTCATGATGTCATGAAGCTTTAGTTTTCATCTTAACAGCTACTTTTACCTTTATTTCAATAGAGATTGGCAGTTCCAGGTCTGAAATCATCCAAATGATTGTAATGAAGATGTATGGAGTTTAAAAACACAGTGGAGCACTTTCTGTTTTACCACATGACATCACAATGTGTACCAGACTGTTTTCTGTTTGAGAGAAGAACTTGCGTGTTAAACGTGTGTGAATGAAACAAAATACAACTCCAGATTTGTTTGTGATGAGGAAACAACATTATAACAGAGATCAGAAAATAGCGTAATACGGGCCCTTTAATCTTTATAATGAGGTAATCTTTGGCCATGAAATGACATGACGTGATCTGGACCAGCTCGACTCTACGGGGGACTGTGCACTACCACCATCCCACCGGAGTGAAGCCATCTGCGCGTATGCTCTTCCAGCCCTCCCCCCTCTGCCTCCACCTGCATAACAGTCTATAAATAAAATGATGTATGGATGGTACAATATTAGCACTGTCATATCTGAAGTCTCCAACACTAACTGAGAATCGTAAGTTGCAAAGATTTCACTTTAAGCTCCTCTACGTGTTTTTTACTCATGTCTTTGAGCAAAACGTGTCTTGCATATTCTATAAGCAGCTCTTAAGGTCAAAATAAGTCTGCTGCATACTGTTGGCATTACATTATTAAGAGCTTTTTATTTTCTGCTAATAAGGAAGTGTCTGTTAGCATGCTAGTTATTGTTAGTTTCACTGGAACACAAAAAAGTGCTTATAAACTCTTCATGGTGAATACTTAAAATGCTCAGAATGCATAAGGTACGTGAGAAACAGTGCTGAGTGTAACCTGTAGTAACAACCGAGTAAAAACAGTGTAAAGAGCTACTACTGTAAATTTAGTAATGAAACATACAGGGTATCCCCAGGTTTGATTATCCCAAATTTAAGACTTTTAAAAAACCTTTTTAAGACATGAAAATTAAAACCAACATCGCACCCATTATGCAGGCGAAAAACACCAGATCCAATTCTAATAATGACCATTACTCACTGCTTTAAATATCCAAAAATACTTTTATACTTTTATTATTAAATCTCATTCAGAACTCATTTATAGTCGTATGCATTGCTTAAATTAAACTGGCCAAAAAATTATTTATAACATCATAATAAGACAAGCTAGGTATTGTTTGAGCATTCTCCAAATTAGACGTTCATTCACGTTACATGATTCACGTTGTTGTTGTTGCTGTTTTGTCCTCCCTCCATTTAACATTGCACTGCAGCCCGGTTGAGTATACAAAAAAATAGGCTAATGAAATGTAAGACCTTTGTGAAAATAATAAGACTTGGACAACATAATTTAAGACTTTTTAAGGCCTTAATTTAAGATCATGAAATATAAGACCTTTTTATGACTTTTAAGACCCCGCGGCTACCCTGACATAGTTCTTTTTCAATTCAGCGCAACGTTACTTGTTTGTGGACATGGGCCAGTCCCTGTCCTGGTGGTGCAACGCAGTTGGGAAGGACTTCCCCCCCCCGGGCGAGAGTTACGCCGGGAGCAGGGGGGGCCCGTCCCACTACTACTACTGGTGAGGAATGACTGGATCACTGCAAACTATTTAAAATGAACTAGTTCTTATAGTAAAAATCAGGTAAAGAGCCCTCAAAGCCATACTCTGCACGTGCCTGTCGAAAAAGGTTCTTAAAGGTTTTGATTCTGTTTAAACCCTTGAGCAATAATGAGTCATTTTCAGCTCACGTTGCAAAAAAAGTATTTGCAGTTGAGTTGCTTTTAAAGTAAGTATTATGTTGTGGTCGAGGTGATAAGGAAGTCAGACTTCAACAATATAAAATTGCAACACACAAAAGTCCCTTGAGAATTAGATAAAACATAATGACATGATTGCTTATACGTAGAAGCAGTATTTTTATTCTTAGCAAGATGTTAAAGGTGCACTGCGTAACTTTTCTGGCACAGGGTCAACTACCTGTTTGTTTACATCAGGGGTGTCCAAATGTTTTCATCAAGGGCCACATTTCTAAACACAGACAAAGCAGATTGAGGGCCGTAGACTTGTGCTCAGTACAGTGAATAACTGAAATATGTGCATGTTTAACACTTCAGAATGAGCCCTCAGTCTTTATTCATGCTAAGATCCTTAAACCCACACTAAATATTAAATCTTAGCTTCATCAAGGTAGATTTTCAAAAAAAAAAACTTGCAGTAAAAAGTTTATTTTTAATTGATGCAAGGTAATTCAGGCCAATTCACCTGGAAGCCTGAGGACCAAGAAAAATTAGTTTGAGGGCCGCATTTGGCCCACGGGCCATAGTTTGGACAGGCCTGGTCTACATGGATATGTTATTGCTTTGCCTGGAATGTTCCGTGGTGTGATATTAAACATATCCATCTAGCGTTTATTCATTACGGGTGTTTTTATTGCTCAAAAATACAGTAATTCCTTCTGTGGGGTGACTCTCCACAGATCTGAAATGTAATGTAGCACAGTGTTGTAACCTGCGTGTCTACATAAGTTTAATCTATACTGTAGAACATTCTTGACAAAGCAGAAACATTTCCACTGAGACAAGACGGTGACGTACCCTTCATTAGAAATTTTGCGCAGTCCAACTTTCAAGTAATGTTGACATCTGTGTTATGGTAAGGAAGTGGGACTTGAACAACACAAAACTGTAACACACAAAAGTCCCATGAGAATTTGAAGTAGAATTATGTAATTACTTATAAGTAGAGGAAGTATTCGTATATTAAAAGTGTTCCTGATTGGACAATAAAAGGTGGCCCTGTCAGGAGCTTCTGTATTAGTCATTATCTGACACAATGCGACGTAAAATCAAAAGATTATATTTTACAGTCTAATTTTCTTTCTTACTGAGAAGCTTTTACCAAACAGTGCGTGATGTACAGAGCATTTATCTCATAAGTCAAATCTCACACATCTGCCCAAAGTGCTGCACAAACACAATACAAAGTACAATCTAATACATACAAAAACACAATAAAACAATACAATAGACATGTCCCACTCAGCTTGTGTTAAAATCATATCATAACATCGATTACCAATAAATTTAAATCAGAAACTGTCTCTTTAAGATCCGCATTAATATTAAGCTCCAAGTTCTCATGGAGCTATTACTGCAAAGCAATGTTTGTGTGGAATGTTTCACAGTATGGTATTAAACCTTTCTATCGTCATGGAGACCGAACCAGACCAGGTCAGATATCTGGAGAGGCGACCCCACTCACAGTCAGAATGCCTGTTTTTCTAGGTAGTTTTGAGCAATAAAACCACCTGTAACTGAAGAAATGTAAAGTAGAGCTGTGTAATGTCACACTGTGGAACATTCCAGGAAGATCAGTTGCATATCCACAGAAACAAGCAAGTGAAGGACCCTCTACTAGAAAAGTGACACAATTTACCTTCAAGTAACAAAATCAAGTACTTCTTCCACCACTGATCACCAATCTATGGCCCACCATTCTATGTTTAAATACAAAAAAATATATATATAAATTTTATTAAAGGGCCTGTCCATGATTTCAAAGCATGAGTCATGATCATGTTTTAGTTTTATACTTTTGGCCACACCCACTTAAAGTTAAGTGGCAGACAGGTGGAAAAGATGACCTCATCAGTAACTATATATATATATATATATATATATATATATATATATATATATATATATATATATATATATATATACCTCCTGAAGTTGTGTTTTGTTTCATTTCATTCACACATGTTTAAGTAATCCTTTATCATTATCATCTCCAAATTACATCTCCAAAGCTCAAAATGCTCTGTTCCACCTTGTGATGTCACGAAGAGATGGTTTTCAAGTTAAGAACTTCTTTTACCTTTAGTTGAGCAGAGATGGGCAATTCCAGGGCTGAAATTATCCAAATGATTCTAATAAAAAATACAGTGTAGCACTTCCTGTATTACCACATGACATCACAAGGAGGAACAGAGTGTTTTCTGTTTGAGAGAAGAACTCAGCCTAAATCTGCAGGGTTTGTGTGTTAAACATGTGTGAATGAAACAAAACACGTCTGTTTGTGATGAGGAAACAACATAGATCAGAAAATAGTTAAATTTGGGCCCTTTAAAATGATGTAGCTGGACGTTTATGTTGAATTTGATGAAGAATGCAGTTCCGCAATAGTATGAAGTCCCTTGAGGATTACAATATAATGACATAATTGTAAGTACATGAAGTAGAATTATTCATAGATGATAGTTTATTTAGTCAGTGC